CACGAGGAGAAAGAGCCCTCGTACATTCATTTTGGAGGCGTCTGTGAGGATTCTCCAGTCCATCCTTTCAGGAACAGAATTGTATTTTATGAAGCCGTCCCTTTTCTGTTTCAACTGTCAAGCAGGTTTGCTGAGAATAATTTAAATTTCATGCAGCAGCAACTGCGGGGCATTGGTGCCTCCTTTCCATTCCCACAAACAAGCCTGGCATGGAGCCACACTTCTGCCTCAGCAGGTCCTTCCCCTAGCTCCCAGGAAGCTAGTGGGAACAGGAACTGGATACTGTCCCAGCTCTTCAGTTTTACCTCCTGCCACATCAGCGGGGGATGGGACAGCTCATCGACTCTCTAAGCATCAACCACCAGGCTGTCCTCCCCCCAAATGAACAGATTCTCACACAGACCTAATTGCTAGTTTAACTTTTGTGTACATATGTGTATGTTAGCAGAGGTTAGAAGTTGACACCAGGTGTCTTCCTTAGTCACTCTCCACCTAATTTTCTGAGACATAGTTTTCTCACTGAATCTGGAGCTCACTGATCAGGCTAGACTGGCTGGTGAGCAAGCCCCAGGGATCCTCCTGTCTCTGCCTCCCTAGCTCTGGGATTATAGACATGTGCCACTGTGTCTGGCTTTTTATGTAGGTGCTGGGGATCCAAACTCAGGTCCTCATGCTTGAACTTTGTAGGCATTTTACCAACTGAACCATGGTCCCTGCCTTCAGCATTAACTTTGTTTGAGTAGCTTACCCGGTAACATGCTGTTTTAGGGTTTTATATACATATTACTTTACATAATCCTTATGTCAAAAATGCTATTATCATTTCCACTTTATAGATCAAAAAACAAAGCTCAGCCAGGCATGGTGGCACACACCTTTAGTCCCAGCATTCAGGAGGTAGAGGCAGGCAGATCTCTGAGTTCAAGGCCAGCCTGGTCTACATAGTGAGTTCCAGGCCAGCTGGGGCTACAGGGAGACCCTGTCTCAAAAAGACAAAAAACAAAACAACAACAACAAAAAACAAAGCTCAGCTCCTCATCAGCAGAGCTAGGATTCAGTTCTAGTCTGTGTGACCCAAGAGCCTGAAGCTCTCATCAGCTATGCAGTGTGAATCCACATAATCTTTCACTTATGCTTTCCTTCTATGAGAAGGAAACATGGGAAGCAAACATGCCCATTTTCTGGGCTGAAATTCAGAGTTTGTGGTCACTAGGTGGGCTGGAGATGGGAAGGCTGTTTCCCTGTGTTGCAATCATGGTTTCCATGGTGAATAGATGCTGCCAGGTAGCCTGGGTGGAGAGCACTGGCCCAGGCAGGTTCAGATTTTAATTCATCGTTGGCCTTGGTAAATAGATATGTTGCATTTTTTTCCCCCCTGAGCTTCACTATTCTGAGCTACAAAAAAATAGGGCTGGGCAGGTAGGCTCCAGCTCATCTTGGGCTCTGGCAATTCGTGTTCTGGAGGTTGGAGAGAAATGCCTATGTTTTGGGGGGTAGGAGTGAGTAGGCCCCTGGACCCTCCTGGTGTCTCAGGAATCCATGTTTATCCAACTGGCCTTTCATCAAAATGTGTGGGAAATCTTTAGGCCATGAACAAATGAAGAAACAGAAAAATTAACTTGGCCCTGAAGGCAGCAGTGACAGAAAGAATTGTCCTCATCTTGCTAACCAGTCTCTGGGAGTGTCTTTCTACGTGAAGGCTTTGACTGGCTGGGCAGGAGCTGACCTTAGCACTGGGCCTCTGGGCATGGAAGGTGGTGGGGATTCCCCTAGTACCCAGAGAACGGGATGTTCAACTTGTTCTTTGTCTGGTCAAAGGGATGTCTCTGAGGCCTGACTGTTGACCCTTGTGTCCATGTCAGAATGCTTGGGTTCCTAGGGTGGTCCTGGCTTATACACAGTGGCTCCAGTCCCCTCCACCAAAGGCCAGGTTGGTGGGTTCAAGTAGCTTTAACACACCTGGGGCATCAGGAACTCAGCAGGTCCTGCTCCTGCTTCCATGTAGCTCTCTCTATTCCACACCTTCTGGGAGAGCAGGGCCCAAACCTTCCTTTGAGGAAAGGCCCTTCCTGGCCTGCAAAAAGCTTTCAGATCCCCTCCCTTGACCACGTCCTTGACAGGTGTGCTGATTCAGCTTTGGTTTAGGGCCTGGACGCTGCCTCTTTTCTCTCTCCTCCCCCAGCTCCATCTTGCCTTCCAGTCACCTTGAATCCCAATACTCAGTTTCCTTCTCCATCTGCTCAGGGCCCAGCTCCTGTGTCTCATCTGAAGAGATTCCTTTTTTCTGGGTGATGCTAGAAATGAACACCTGTCCTCACAGGGAGATGCCCTTGTCCCAGGAATCATGCCTGGAAGTGAGTGCTGCGGAGGTGACCTAGGTATCTAGAAGATTCACCACTAGCCAGTACCTGTTCTGTTCTGAGTACTTTATACATGGTTCCATGTATACAATCCTCACAATAACTCCAGCAAATAAGATACCACCTGATCTTGTCCAGGGTCACTTGGCAAGAGGCTGATTGGAATTAAAATCTAGATAGTCTGTCTCCAGAGTCAACCCCATTGTATCACCTCTGCCAATAACTCCAACAGGAGAGACACTTGCTTGTCTGGCCACACATTCATTATACACTGGCCCATGAGCTCCCAAGGTGAAGGGCCAGCCCTTCAGTGGCTGCTGGGTGAAGACCTTGCTGGCTAAGCAGGGAAACTACTGACACCTGGGTTTGGCCTGTCTGTCTGTTGCAGTCTTGACATGGGGCAATCATAAAGATGAGGGGACAGGTTTCTGGGCCAGCAGCAGCTAGGCTAGACTAGTGACAGGAGGTGTCATGGCCCACATCTTGGACCAGTGCACTGGTGGAAAGCACTGTAGGCTGCTGTCTTGGTACTGCTTCACCCAACCCCTGCACACCACTCTCTTGGAGCACTCCAAAGAACCCAGAGCCTAACCGGGCCCTAGTCAACCCCTAAGGTATGAAACCACACTGAGCTCCTTCCACAGTGGAGATGGCATTTCATCCTCATGTTGTCACATACCAAAGAGGTGGCTATCCTCACAGGCCTGAACTTTTGCCCCTCTCCCCCTTTTGGCTGGCCAGAGGCTCAGTCGTTGTTCAAGCTGCTCTTTTCTGTTTGTGGCTTATTTTTTTCCTCCGTTTGGGGCCTAGCCAGGCAGGGCTGGTAAATATTGAGCTGCTTTGGAGCAAACCAGGTGTCATGTGTCCAGGGTATGGTAGGGAAGCCCTGCAAAGAACCATAGGCACTGACCCTCATCTGGCAGAACTAAAGTTACACCTCTAGAAGCAGACCAATTACCATCCCTACCAAGGAATCCATCTAGCGGAGGATAGAAGCCATCAAGTGGGCCTAAAGGTCCAGTCTCTCTCTCCTACCTGGAGTCCTGGCTGTCAGCTCCAGAGAACTCTTTGAAGAGTGCCTGCCAAATGTGGCCAGCAGGGCTGGCAGCAGGCACCCCTGGGCAGGGGTCACCAATTTGGAGCAGGCCAAGGGCTGCCACTCAGGGCAGGAATGTATTTGGCTGGCCTGGGGCAGTGTACCCAAATAATCCTCCATCGCTACTCCTGTCCGGCATTCTTTGCCTCCCTGCCTTGGTGGGGTGGTGTTTTCATAACAGGAAAATAAAATCAATAAGGCACTGCAGCAAGATGTCAGTGCGCCGTAAGCTGGCCTCCAATAGCTCCATTGTCTTGGGCCTCTGCCGGGCTCTGCGGCCAGCAGTGCTGTTATTAATGGGAAGCAGGGCTGAAAGGGAGTTTTGAAAATCATAGAGACAAAGGCACAGAGCACCTAGAGTGCACAGTCCACCACCACAGCCACCTAACAATGGCCTGCCTGGGGCTTCCTGCCTTTAATTTCTCCTGCAACTTTTATGAAAGCAGGAAAAGACCAGACACATACACATAGCACATACATACACATGCATGAACACATACACACACACACACACACGCAGGCCCCAAGAAGGTTCCTAGGACGTCGCTCTGAATGGTTAGCAGACACAAAGGCAGGCTGCTGAGTCTCTGCTTGACCAAGGGGTTTGATGGTTTGAATGGGCTTCTTGATTTGGCCACTAGCTGTCCCTCCATGGCTCAGGCTGCCTGAAATGGCTCTGCACAGCAAGCAAGAGGGGCTACAGAGCCCCTCAGCTCATCCTGAAGCCAGCTAAGAGCCTTGGTGGATCCATTTCCATATTCCCTTTTATATAGACTAGCTTCTGCTCCCATTACTGGGGCTTCTGGAGCCACTTCTTTCAGAATGATCTGGAGATAAGGCCCCTGCAGCCAACTGCTGGGATGAGTCCTGGGTCCTTGCAACAGCAAGGACTGTTAGAACTGTGAAGTACCAGGGAAACCTAGACAAACAAGCAGGCATGTGTGTGCACTGACCTCACAGGCTTGCTGTGCAGCTCATAGGGGACTGTAGATGTAGGAACACTCAGCATGGGGATGAATTAGTGATGGGCTCTTGACCCCCATCACTAGTACAACTGGGCCAGGTCTGACTGAAAACCCCACCCACTGATGCCCCATCAGGGGAACTGTAAGTTTTTAGCTCTTCTGTTTAGGGAACCAGGAGTCCTAGTCTTTTGTTGTTCATTTTGAGACAGGCTCTCACTATGTAGTCTTGGCTGACCTGGAACTTGCTATGTAGACCAGGCTAACCCTGAACTTACAGAGATCCACCTGCCTCTGCTTCCTTAAAGGCATGCGCCACCACACCCAGCTAGGAGGCCCACTCTTATTTCACTTATTCCATAGGTTTTAATCAACCAGCATTGTGTAGGACAGTGAGTGGCCTCTGGCACCTGCTTGTCATCCTATAAGTTAGTTACAGATAGAGACTTCCCAGCAAATAAGGTCATTTTAACCTTCTGAAATGAGGACCCCAGGGAGACCATGACTCTGGGGAATATAGGCTGGGGAGGCCTGAGTCTATGCTGTTGCCAGGTTCCTCCCAGAAAGGACACCAGATCTTACCTTGGTGACCACTGATGCAGAGCTGGCCACGAGACTGGTGATGGCCTCACTGCTGCCAGTGGTGCAGGGAGCAGGTGCCGTGGCGGGTGTGGGCAGCCGGGAGGGTACCACTGGCAGTGGCAGGAGTCCTGGTCGGGCACTGAGGCTGCTGGCTGTGCCACCACCAGCACCAGATGTGACACTGCAGATGCTGGTGGTCCCATGGGTCCCATTGACACTCCACTCACGGCGGTCCCAGCCCACGCGGTAATCTCTTTCGAAGCGACTATGGTGCCTGGACATCTCGGTGGGCCGCAGAGGCTTCTCACAGGGAACCAGAGCCCGGACCTGCCAGCATAGAGCACAGGTGGTTTAGACAAACAGTAGCTCTATTTGGCTACAGGGAGGTGGTCACCAGCAGCAGCATCTACTCAGCCCTGGCTCTGGGTTCAGTAAAGGGTTTTCAAATAGGAGCTGATTTCAGAGTTCGAGCAAGTCAGCAAATCCTCCATCATTCACCTGCCCCACTTCTTAAAGAACTGATTTGTCCAGGATCATGTGGCAGAATGTAGCAAGCAGGATTTGAACCCAGTTAAAACAGTAGCAATTTTTTGTTCTGCCATGTCACACTACCCTGAACAACATTAAGTGCACATCTTAATTATGGTAGGGGCAGCATCGCTTCCCAGCCCCACTGTGATAAAAGGCCCCTCTGCCATGCTTTCTCCAAGCACAGGTCACACGACCCACATGGTTACTCACTTTACAGTGGACACAACCTTGACTGAAATCTCATTTGTTCCTTGTAGTACCCGTGAGGGGCGGCAATGCACAGTTGGTCCCCAATTTATGGACAAGAGGACTCACAGAGAACAAGTAGTCCCCTGAGGTCAGGGAACAAAGAGGTTAGAAAGGCTACAATGCCTCTGAAAGATGTTAGCTTCCAGGGGTCAAGTCATCCCTCAGAACCCCAACCCAACAATTCAACCGTACACTTCCGGGACCTGTGTACTCTGCCCTCTGTTCCCCCGTGATCTCCCACACGGCTTCCTGAGTATCTGAGCAGAAGGCCTTTCAGGGTTGTCATGGAGACTAGACGCACCATGGTATGGGAAGGGCCCTCTGAGTCACTGAGGACTGCATCTTGCTCACATCACTGTGACAGGGCTGGCTTCTACCCAGGCAGGGCCTAGCTACTTCAGTCAGGAAAGAAATAGGGCTGCAGAAGGCACGGAGAGGCAGAGATGGGGATTCAGGGGGAAGTATGGCTAGGCTAGGACACAGATAGGTGGTTGAAGGTGAGGCTCTGCCCTGTACCTCACACCCACCTCCATGTGGCTTAGGGACTACTTGGTTCACTTCAGCCCCATTCCATTTTATACCCAATTCCACTCTGAGCTGTGGACTCCTGTTCCTTCCTCTCCTGCCAGCCTAGCTCTAGAGCTGCTGGCTCGTGGGTGGACAGGCCACTTATTTTAAAAGTATCTGCCCCATTGCCCAGGGCTAGTGCCAGGGGGCCACAGCCTGTATCCAGCCCAGACAACCTGCTACCATGTGCTTATATTGTGGCCCAGCTCTGGGAGCTACTGTTCCCTCTGTAAGGCCAGCAGGTAACACACGAGTCTCACCTTCAGCCTGGGCTAAGCCACCTGAGGCAGAGCTGACTGGCAAAAGCTGGATGACTATTTCCTGTTCAGTTCATCCTGTGCCTCAAGATTTATAAAATGTCACTGCATTCTTTAAAAATATTGATTCAGTATTACACAGTGGAAAAAGGCTGTTTCTTCCTTGGCTACCACTCATACTTTCTAATGGAGGCTTATGAGAGAGTGGTCTACACTCATGGTCTAACCTTGGTTCTACTTTCCTGACTCCTATTTGGCCTGGAACCTGTTCTCATGTGATCTCTGATGTGCCTGCCCCAGAGGAATTGTTCCCATGGAGGTCACAGATGACCCCTTTGTCCAACGCACATTCATGCCCTTGTTTCTCTCACATGATGTACTGATCTCTCTCTTTGAGTCCAGCCTCCGACTTCTGTGGCACCCTGCTCCCCAGCTTTTGAAGCCAGCTCTCGTTGGGGTTATAAACTCCCCCCTTCTAGACCTTTACACTCTCCTTGGATAAGCTCATTCAATAGCCCCTTCTTATCTGTGATACCCAGGGCTACTTTTCCAGCTGTCTCATCCAAGCATGCATACCCCCTCCAATCTTCCTGGAGCCTGTCGTACACCACCTGGCTGCTCCCCAGGTACCTACATGTCGCACGTCCCCTAATGAGTTCATTGTTCTTTACCCTAAATGCCCGTTCTCAGGAATGTCCTGTCTTAGCCACTCTGTCTCACCATCTCTGCCCCTGTATTCTACAGGGGTCTCTGACATTCTTTTGTCTCAGAGGCTTTCAAATCTGCCCCCATCTGCCTGCCACTCCCTGCATGCAATGTGTCCATATTAGCTACCTCAGCTCAGCTTCCTGGCTGTAATCACACCCTTCTTATAGCTTTATTTTGAGATAGGGTCTTGCTATGCAGCCCAGGCTGTCCTGGAACTCTGTATAGCTCAAGCTGGCCTAGAAGTCTATGCAGCCTAGACTGACCTCAAACTTATGATCCTACAGCCTTCTCTTCCCCACCTGATTTAAAAGCTTAGACCTCATCCTTCAGAATCAGGCTCTAATTCTCCTTGGTGGCCCAGAAGACATGGAAGGCTTGAACTGGCTTACTGTGGTAGCATCCTCTCCTTCGGTCCCTATGCAGAAGCAAAGCCCACTCATCCAAATGCTTTTAGATTCTGAAGGCCTTGTGTTCTTTCTCAGCTCAGACTCCAAACTTACAAGTTCCTTTGCTGGAAACGACCTCTGACCCTCTTCCTTGACAAGGCCTGTTTGACTCAGCTCAGCACAGGGTCTTTCTGGGGATGGTACTGACCCTGTTCCCTCCACCCGGTGAGCATCCTGTGCCTATCTCCATCCCAGTATTATGACTTTCATTGACAAGAGGGGCTGGGTCTTTGTTATCTTGGTAACCACAACACCTAGTGCAGAGTGGCATGGAATGTATCTACTACATATGTGAACAGCACTTACTATTTCTTAATTGCTGAATATTTCTCCACAGGACAAACACATCTGCATGAAAGAGAAGACCTCAGACACCACTCTTGAGTCTTCTGACTGGCAGTTAGGAGGTGCTAGAGTAAAATAATGTCCTACCTTTCCAGTAAGTAGGATTTGAGCCCAAGGGCAGTTCTGGAAGGAGAACTTGCATTGTGAGACTACACTGGACCTCAGAGCTTGGGCTCTTGTCTCCCCAAATTCATCTATCAAGGTAGAGCTCTTGTCATTGGCTTCAGGATTAGGGCAGTACTTCCTAGTCTGGGTCCTAAGTGAGCAGAGTCCAAGCATTATATTTACCATACCATGTCCCCTGTTCTCGTTCTAAGCACCTAGGAGGACCTATCCCAGTTGCCATGGCAGTTGGGTTGGGACCGTGCATGTAGATTTGTCAGACAGAGTTGGTAGGCATTGAAGATGGCTTCCAGACCTGGCTCTTGAAAAGTATCTTCTTTTGGGCCAGTCAGATGGCTCAGGAGGTAAAGGCGCTTGCTGCCAAGCCTGACGACCTGAATTCAATCCCCTAGTCCTGCATGGTGGAAGGAGAGAACTGACTCCTGAAATCTGTCCTCTGTCCTCCACACCTTCTGTGGCATGTGTGAGCACATATACACACACAAATAAATTTAATAAAATATTAAAGATATCTTCTTTTCTTAATGCATGTGTGTGCATGCTCATGTGTATGTGGGTGTACATGTGTGTTTGAGTGCCCATATGTATGTGTGCACACGGACATCAGAGGATAACCTCCTGTGTTGTTCTAAGGAATACTATCCACCTCCTTTGAGACCCTTCTTTCACCAGGCTGAAGCTCACCAATTAGGCCAGCAAGTCCCAGGGATCATGCTCCTGTCTATGCCTCCCCAGGGCTGGGATTACAAGGGAGCATTAATTATCGTGCCCAGCATCACTATGCCCAGCATCACTATGCCCAGCAGGGGGATTGAACTCAGGTCTTCATGTTGGGAGGCAAGCACTTTACCGAGTGAGCTATCTCTCCCCCCAGTATCTTCTATGACTCCACAGTTCCCTTTGCCTGCCTTGGCAACCTTGAAGTTCACACCTTCCAGATGGTATAGCTATTTCCTGGCAGAGACTGCCCAACCTGCATCAGGTCTCGTATGACTGGGACTTAAATCTGTACTGTGTTCAGATACTGACACTGGCAGTCCATTTGTTAGCTTGCACAGCCTAGATTGGCCTGACTGAAACACTTAATCAGCCCCTACATTCCCACACTACACAGCCTCATAGCCTCTGAGAAATCGTTTTCTCCCAGCTGGCACAGACGCTAAGGGAGGCCAGCACCTCTGTACCAAGATTGTCTCCAGGCAGCAGAGTGACTTGGGATCATGTCAAAAGGATCTCTTTGGATGTGGCTGCCTACTCAGGGACCATGTACTAGGCCCCACAATAATAGTCTGTACGAGAAAAGCCAGACCTCACAAAGCACACCTTCTACCATCCTCAGCTTGCTGCCACCTCCCCCAGCCCTTCAAATGCCAGGGAGGAGGTTGAGACATGGGCAGCTGGAGGCCACACAATCTGGTTTCAGTCTCATTAAGTGTATTCAAAACAAAGGTCAACTATTTGCATGCAAGCTTTTGGGCCAGACCTCATTCCTCAGTTTAATTTCCCCTTTCAAACGAATGAAAGAAATGCATTGCACAGTTTACTCTGAGCCAGTCGGCAGAGTGCCAGCTCCAGAGGTGGCGACTTAAGTATTTCCTGCTGGGCGCAGAGCCAGCGTGTCACAGAGGTCTCGTGTGCATACACGTGTGCCTAGATGGTACTTCAGGAGGCACAGGAAGTGCAAGTGAGGAGGAAGGAGGCCCGCAATGGACAAGGTGCCTCAGACCAGACTGGTTAAGCAATTCCAGACAAAACAGAGAAAAATGCTTCCTTGTTGAGGGAGCGCCCTTTCCTGGCAGGCTGCCTGTGCACTGGTGGAGCCTGGCACGGTGCCCTGCACCAAGAAGGGAGGGTGTGAGCAGCAGCCGCCTTTGGTGAGAAGGGGAAGTTATAGAGAATCCAGGCTTGATGCCTGGGTGGGGAGTTGCCTTGTCAGCACCTGTGACACACAAGTGTGATGGAAAAGCTCTCAAGCTGGGAGTGGTGGTTTATGCCTTATAATCCCAGCAGAGGGAGGCAGAATTGCTATGAATTTGAGTATAGCCTGGGCTACATAGTGAGTTCCCAGCCAGGGCTACAGACTGAGATGCTGTCTTAGAAA